ATGTTGTTAGCATAACTGTGATGACATGCTCTTGGCATTTACTCTTGAAACAGGGCCTGACTTTGGTGCTCCTCCATCCTTTATGCGGAAAAAGCTCCTTTCCATTTTGAGTGAGTCTGGAAAAAATTCAGCAATGATTGATGACATATCCATTGTAAAACGATTTGCCTCGGAGTCCTCTAATGCAATTCCTGTGACATCTGATGAAGAAGCACTTACAAAAACCATCAAGGAGGTAACAAATGTCTTATTGCTATGGCCCTGTTTTGATATTCAACTTAATTGAGCGTCTATCTTATAAGTGTTACTAATATATGAGCTGTTTCTATAATTGAAGATACAATGAAGTCAAATAATTTTTATATAAGTTGTAAGCTGTATTCATAAGTTATTATGGAGAGCTTATGGAAATATCATTAGTTGTTTTCGTAAATTCTTCCAAGCAGTCTCTCAAGCAAGGTTGTTAAACTTGAGACTTTAAGTCAACTCGTTTTGGCTAGGTGGATTCGACTCGTTCGAACGAGTCTATCTCATTAAAATAATATTGAAATTAATATATACATGATGTTATGCTTAATATAATATAATAAATGCATCAATATTTCAAAATTTCGACTTGATAATGAAGCAAAAGTATACCAAATTACCATAATAAAGTGTTATAATCATAAACTTGTATCAAACTACATAAATTAAGTTTACAATTGTTTAAAGTTAAAGCAAACCAAAAAACACAACTTAAATAAATGAAATTTCACAAAGCAACAAACATATCGAGGGATAATAGATGTCTCTCACAACAACACTAAACACATGAGTTTTCATTTTAAAGCTGATATAAATTAAAACACATAAACAACTAAACCAAATATCTATAAATTTTGATCAAAATTTTATATTTCAAGGTCAAAGCAATTTAAAATCATAAACTAATAGTAAAGTTGAGAGTTTATTAATTTTATCTGAGCTTACTTGACTCGTAAGAGTTTGCAAAAAAGAGGGTTTACCTGCGAGTTAATTAGTTTTAATAACCTAAAATCGTAAACTCGTAATAGTTTAAACGACAACTCCCGAGTTAACAACCTTGCTCACAAGTGTTTATGCCCGAAGAGTAGATAAGCTCAAATAAGTCAATCCAAACAAGTTCTGTATTTGAAAGTGTTTTTCTTTTTGATTATCAGTTACAAATGGTCCTTATTTGTTTCAGTTGAAGAATGAAAAGGTGCATTTTATCTGGACTCAGTTTTCAGAGTTACACTCATACTTGAAGAAACAAGCTGAGGATTCAGATAGCTTGAATAAAAATATTGCAGAGATGATTGCATTACATACATGTCAGAAGAATAAGTCAAACGGGAAAGGCCTCAAGCCGAATATATCTTCTGAACTGAAGGAAATTGTTACTCGCATGGATAATAAAATTCATAAACTGTATAAGTCATTACCAACAAATGCTATGATGATAGTTTGCACCGGTCACGGAGACACAGCAGTTGTTCGTAGGTAAGATATGCATGCCTTTTATGTCCAATTATTCTATATTTGTTTTGTTTTTACTGCAATACTTTTTCACATTACAGTAATCTAGGTGTAAACTAATGCTTAATAGCCAGAGAAGGATATTAATCTTTCCCAATTGAGTCTAAGAATAAAAGTCTCTGTTTGGGTAAGTCTAGAAGTTTCATCAACAGGAGTCAATTTCGAGTAACAGATTTTCTTTTGTAATTTATTGTTTCCCCGTAGACACTGGTTTACATTAGACTCATTGATATTAAATTGTAATCCTTACCTACAATAGTTGAGATTTAAATTTACAATTCGATGTGATTATACAAGAGGATTCGGCTTATTCATTTTCAATCAGTAGAGATCTTGAACTTGCAAAGCTAGGGTTTTACTTTTTAAACATGTTTATGATGATTTGGATGAAAGTTAAATGTTTTTTTTAACCCCTTTTCCCCTTTTTTTCAAAGGTTGAGGAAAATGCTTGAGGAGGAAGGTGAAAGTAATTTTGGTCGTGAGAAGATTTTGGAAAGCTTGCAAGAGTTTCAAGCTAGAGCTGAAGTAGCATTGTGTTTTGTAGGTGTAAAACACTGATTATAGAATATTTCGAAATTAACTTAAAGCTGTTTTTTTATAACCGGTGGCGATTGGCCCTATTTATTATTGTTAACGTTTTAAATGTAAATATTTGTTAGGTCACATGGCAAGAACTCTATAAAATGTGTTGAGTTCCATGAAAATTTTGAAGATCAGAGTCCAAAAGTGTTGTACTTTATTCTGCTTATTTTTTCTGAAATTATTTGTTGTTTTAGTCAATTCGCATTTGTATCAATGTATTTTTTTCCCTTCATACCAGATTTACAATTGTTCTTCAAATTAAATCTGTTTAGTTTATAGTTATAAATTGTTTTTTCTTTCTTAGTAAATAATCTTCAAATGCAAAAAGTAAGTCATCTTCAGAACAGTTTGTGAGTATTGGAAAAGAATTGAGTTGAATTGGTGAGTATGTTTAATTTTGTATTTTTTGTTTTTATATAATAATTTCTAACAACCAAAGTGTGGTTAAAACAGCTGTAAACGAGTTACTAAGAAGAAATGTAAATTATGGTAACAAGCAAACAACAATGTAGTTACAATCCTAAGCATAACTGTTATATGTTGTAATATACTACTACAATGTCGTTCAGCCATGTTAAACACTTAAATTACATCAAGTTTGCACATAGTATACATCTGATCAGAACATCATGAACCACAAACTAAACACATAGATAAACTAAACAAGCAACCATATAACAAAAATGAGTGAACAGTCACTTTAGTCCCTAAATGTGAGCCCATGTCACTGAGTATGTATTTTGTTTTTGTCAGTAATTTTATGAACTAAATTGACTAACAAAAAACACATCAGAGGATCAAACTAATTAACAGATGACACATACGAGACCAAACGGCTTAAGGAAAGACACATTCAAGTATGTTTTTCTAATTTCGAAAATTTATGAACTATAGTGACACCGGCTCACATGGTAAAGGATTAAAATGTCTATTTACTCGGTTTTCATGTTTACTTCCAAGCTGAAGCAACAATCAAGTTTTTGTCCTCCCATCCAAAATGAAGTGCTCCCATTTCCTCTTTTATCTTGTACTTGTCACAGTACTGCCTAATGAGTTCCCTAATTGCTTCTTCCACATTTGTACTCATTGGTGATGAAGTGAATCCTGCCATTCTCATCCTTGCCCTCCATTTTCCAGCGACTTCGTACCGCTCTATCCTCTCCTCGCCTTCGCACGCGATGATATTGACAATGTCTCTTGCCAAGCATTGCCTTTCAACATTCACCCTATCTTGGCTCTCTCTCGGAAGAGTGGCGTCGAGTGACTCAAACACAGCAGAGTAGTAACTGTAGGCTTCAACGAATCTCGGGAGAAACGGAGAAGTGTTTGTGTTCACGTCTTGCTCCACGACTGTTACGAGTTTTGGTTTAAGGCTCTTGACCATGCGAAGAAGCTGGTCTCGTTCATTTACCGTTGACACACTTTCGTCGCGCATGTGATGAAGCTGGAATGCAAAGTTCACCACAATTGCTTCCCCGGCACGACAGTTGAGCATTGATGGAGTGACAATTGAAGAACTTGATGCTACGGCTCGGAACTCAAATGGCAATCCGAGTACTTCTGCAAGCTTTTCAAGCCTTTGTCCAATGATACTTAGACCTCCAACAGATCGTTGCACGGATTCAGGATCGTCAACGCCAGTCAATCTCACAAAAGGCGGCTTACCTGGCCTAGAAGCAAGTGTTTGTATTAGGGTTATATATTGGCTTCCTTGGTTGATATCAAAATCTATTATGTGAACCTTCTTATCATCTTTAATAGCCTCAGCAATAGCACCATTTGCTGCGATAAATCCAAATTTAAAACACGGGCACACCTCGAATAGGATCTGCATTGACGCTAGACGATCTGAAGAAGGAGGTTCCTTGCATTTCAAAGCTTTATAAATACAATTTCCAGACGAAGCCAAACGAGCCGCAAGTCCTTCCACCATGTAGGCCGCAATTCTATCGGAAGGATCTCCATTAATCGAAACCATCTGCCTGAGATCATCTATCATAGCCGAGGCTTTTCCTTCATTTCCTTCTGAAAGTGCACTAGCACATTCATAAAGTAACTGCTTCGGCGTCCGAGGACAGATCTGTGATATTTCTTTGGTGCAACTGCTGCTACTAAGATTCGAATCTGATGACAGAGATTCCTTTGGCGAGTCATGTTGTGACATGTTCTGAACGAGATTGGCACACTCAGCAAAGTCAGGATCAATGTCCATGCTTTGTACAGTTCTAAACATGTTTTCCTCATCATCGTCGTCATCATCATTATTGTCACTAAGCAACGCCCTCTCCAATTCTTGCAGTTTCAATCGCATTTCACCATCAAACTCAAAGCAATCCGGGCTCTCGTTTTCCAATAAATCTGACTCAAAGTTCGACTGATAGGCATCATGAAGCCTTGTCGATGAAACATAAGTATCAAATGGGTTATCGGTGACCACAGAAGTTCCAGAACTAGCTCTGATCTGGTAAGAATCACACTCAGCGTGAACCGAATTTCCCGATACACCAGAACTCGACGGTTCTATCAGTTCTTCTGTAGGTGAATCAAGGAAGTATTTTTCATAACTCTCACTTGAGTAAGAATCATTCATGTACATGCGTCTGTGCTTATCAGGAACGAAATTATGAGAGGACAAGCCGGGTGCAACATCAGTTCCCTTTAGCGAGTATAGTTTGGCATTCCTGTAAGACGCATCAGCCAACTCTGACGATATAATCAATGACATAGTTTTACTTCAAGTCAATCAGCTCACATAAAATTTCAGTCTATACACAAAACAAGAAGATCGATCAGTCACAGAAACGCTTTAAATTCTGCAATCCATTAAGCAAATTTTGTTCACGCCTTAAATAAATAGTTAAATAGGTCAACTAGCTCACCTATGAAATATAGTCAAAATCTTCTAGGATGCCTTTGCTGAAATAAGATAAACAAAACAGAAGAACACATTTCGGTTAGAACAACCGATCTATTTTAAGAATGACAGAAACATAAAAAATGCAATTTAGAGTTTAGTACTTTACAAACTGAGACTCTTATGAAATCAGCACTAAGATATTGAACAAACTCAAGAAGTAGGGTAAAGAGAGTTCAAAATCAAACATCTTTTTTGATCAAAATTAGTTGTTAGCTTTGGTCAAACATTGATGAACATAGTTGCAAAAAAAAAAAAAAAAAACAATCTTAACACAGCAAAGAAGATGATATTGTTCCAAAAACATCATTTTTTTTAATCATAAGCCATAAAGAACACATAAATAAACCTCCTGCTATGAAAAACACAACTGAAGTTAAAAAAAAATTTTTTTTGGAGATAATACCTATGACCATGTTTTTTTTGTTTAGCATAGGAAGAATCTGGAACACACTAACAACGTTATTACAAGACAAAACAAAAAGATTAAAACCAAAAAACACATGAATATATATATATTGTTCAAAATCTCATTTCAAACAAAAAAGCAAAAATCAAGAACAAATGAAGAGTAAGATAGGTATAGAAATTTTTGTATGCACCTGATGCAACCAAAATTGAAGAATTGAAGCAATTTAGTTGATATGTAAACCTGAATATTGATTGAAATAGGAAAAAGAAGAGAAACTGAGGTAAAGTTTTGACCAAGTGATAGAGAGATTATATCAAGAAAAACTCTTAAGACTGGTTAATATATTAATATATTTTTTGTTTGTTTGGTGAAAATCAACGAATCATATAAAATGAATTAAATATTTGAGGAGCGTTTTGGAAACGATACATAGATAGATATTGAAAGAATATAAAATTGTACTTATCCAGACTTTAAAATTATGAAAAATTGTCTATTTTTTATATTTTAAATTTGAGTTGAAGAGTTAAAAAAAAAAAAAAACTCTAAAACGATGATTCTACACTAGCTTCACAAAAGATCGATACACCACATCATTATCAACATTATATTTTGTTAGATAGTTATCATTAACATTTCTCTCCTTTAAGAGTATGACATATTTTAACTTGTCATTCTCTAGAGAAGAATTGGGGTATACTGATGTCAAACATTATCAGACTCTAAGATAAATTTGACAGGAGTCAGAATATCACATCAGATCTTTGATGTCAAATTTTCATGCCACACGTAATTCATGATATTACACCATCAGCTCATCATGAAAGATATTGAAATAATCAATATTATCCGCAAAACCGTGAATTCAAGCACCATCAACATTTCAAATCGATTCATCAAAGTCTGAGATATCGGGATTACCGAGGCTACTACCATTAACATTCAAAATTATATTATTACCTTTGTGTGCATTCCACGTGATTGTCCTCGTTGGATGAGATAAATTATGTTTGAGAAAACATTTAGCTAAAAAATTAGCATAATTTATCGTGATGGGTTTTAAAGTATAGGAAAATACCATTTCACTCATAAGACAACGTTTGCTTGTAGTGCGCCATAACTACTAGCAAGCAACTAAAAGATAGAGTCACCATCGATGTCATGTCTAATTCAATCATATAAATTACCCTCTTGGAAGAAAAGTGGTTAAAGAAGCCGATAGATTTTCAAAAATGAATAGCAAATTCACAGTCTCTCAGGAAGTGTAGAGTCGTCTCAGCATTTTAATTATATCTAGGACATAGATCCGTCTGGAGCATATCACAATGACACATTGATCTCATAAGAAGGAATTTATGTAAAATCGTCCAAAAAAGAATTTCACCTTCTCAGGAACAGAAATATGTCACACCCACTTTCAAGAGTTATTGTCTGCTCTATTATAAATAAATTCAAGTTTGTTGAGCCAGTTATAACCATTTCAAGCAGTATAGATAACATTTAAATTGTCTTTCTAAGTTAATCGGTCAGACACAAGAGAATTCAAACAAATGGAAAACACTTTCAGGCGAGCACAAACAACTGCATGAATATTAGTATATAATAAATTGAATTTTCAATTCTCATTCAAGTAAAAATCATTCACTCGTATTTCCAGATCATGGATATTCACATAGAGAGCCTGTTTCGCTAGTTTTCCTACATCAGACCAATTGGAAAACAAGAAAAAGGAGTTCCCGTATCCTAATCTATATTCAAAGCCATCTTTAAGAGCAAAGAGAGATTTCATAATTACATTCCAAGTAATTGATCCCAACTTCTTTTTTATATTAAGTAACATTTCCTTACCGATGTACTTATACTTTAAAACTTGGACCCATAGGGAGTCACAATCCCTATAGAGACCTCAAACCAACTTATCCAACATAGAAGTATTGGTCTCTCTTGCTTTTCAGATCTTAATACTACCCAGTTTTTTGGGCTTAGTGATTTTATTCTAGCAACCAAGATGCACAGCACAGTTGAATTACCTTTCCATAAAAAATTCTTAGTCATCCTCTCAATAAATCACAAGTTGGTTGCGATAGCCAGGCCATTTGCACATAATAATTTGGGATGGAGTTCAAGATAAACCTAATCAGAATCAAACAACTAGGCTTGTTTAACAATTTATGTTGCAAAAATGCTAATCTCTGACTGATTTTCTTCTCTAGGAACTCAAAGTCCCTGCGTTAAAGACGATCATGCAACATAGGAAATACCAAGTATTTCTCTTTATTAGGAGTTCACTAGATACCTGTGTTGGAGACAATTAATATATTTTACTCCTCTTAGTGGTAGGGAAAAATAACACCTTTGATTTAACAACATTCACTTTAAGACCAAAAAACATGGGAAAATGATTCATGATATCATAAATGATCTCTTCCTAGGAGTTAGAAATATTCACAAAAATAAGAATATCATCCGCAAAAATAAATGTGATAGTAGGGTCCATTATGAGATAACCTGACAGGTTTCCAATGAACTTCATCGACTACCTTGATGATTGTATGGGAAAAGAACTCCATGCAGATAATAAAGAGATAGGGTGAAAGGGGGTCACCCTGCCATAATTATCTAGTTGGAACAAAATTTGATAGTTGTCTCCCATTCCAAAGAATAGACATGGAGGAGCTAGTTACACAGTGCATGATCAATTTCATAGTCATGGAAGGAAACATGTTTCACTTCAAACAAAATTTCAAGAAATCCCAATTAACATGATCATAGACCTTTTCAAGATCAGTATCATGTAAGCTTTTTTATTTTGAGACTTACACATAGAATGCATTGCTTCTTGGAGGATAATGATATTATCAATTGTCTGCTTACTAGGCAAAAACTACTTTGAAAAGGGTCCAACTATCTGATTTAGATAAAGATGTAATATGTTAACCATAACATTTGCAATAAGATTGTAAATAGTGTTGCACAAGCTAATGAGCCCGAATTCCTTAAAATTTTGGGGACAGACTACCTTAGGAATTAGTACGATAAGAGTCTTAGAAAGAGAGGAGCGAAAGCTATATGTCACAAAAGCATCTGATATAAGTTAGGCAACATCATCTCCAACTATATACCAAATTTGTTTAAAGAAAATACCATATATTCTATCATGACCAAGAGCCTTGAAAGGGTGCATTTGAGTCAACACATAAGTAACTTCTTCATTCGTCACCTGTTGAGTCAAAGAGTGTCAGGATTCTTTAGTAAGGATCGAAACCATAGTTGAGTAACTCATACTAGCGAGGAGTATAGGAGATGTAAGGCAGAAAAAATCTTTAAAATAATTCAGTGTTTCTTCCTTGAGAATGATGTCATCATTGCACCAAACACCACTGGAAAGATGAAGGCCATAGACTTTATTTTTCTTCCGCATGATTACCGTCTTGGTATGAAAAAATTGGTGTTACGATCTTACAGTTTAAAATTCTTTCAACAAAAATTTAAAATAAGTATTTTATTACTTTGTTAAAAAAATAAAAAAAATTCAATTGAAGTATTTGAATTGACTAGAATTTTAATTTTACTACAATTTCCAATTACTATTCAAACACACTCTAATTGTATTATTTAAGAATTTCCAAAAAAATAATATTCCATTTTGAAAATCAAAATGAAATACTTATCAAAATAATAAATATATAATTTTTATACATAATTGATTTATTTTGGTTTTTTCAACAATATCATAATTCTACTTGTTAAATTATTTTTAGATTTTATCAAATTCATTTATCCTTTTGTTTTTAATTAATTTTCATGTACTCTTAATATAATTTTTTTTATATTGTCTATAAATCACAACCACTCATATTCATTATACTTGATAAAATCATAATGAGTGACAATTTCTATTTGTGTAGGACTATATGAGAAGTTTAAGATTGTTGCGGTGTTAGAGAAAACTCACATAAGGATTGTGAGAAGTTCTGTATATGAGTAATTATTGAGTAAGCTAAATGTCTTTCTCAATCTTATGGTTGATGTATTCACCCGGATCTCTTGGGATTTGATCTTAGACTCCAAGAAAGAGGTTACAATATTCTTCCCTCTCAGAAGCGTGGGGAGTGAGAAGTTATTTCCCCAATTATCCTGGAGAACATGACTTTATTTTTTAACTTCCCCCCTCGAGCCATTATTGGGTGGGGACACATCATTCCCCATGTTTTCCTAAGTGGGCGAGTGATTCAGTCAAATGTAAAATGCTATAGATAATTGACAAACATTGTGCAATAGGTGCATATTATGATAAACGAGTGCACACTATAAGGACGTGGCGGCTAGGCACCCTCATTTGGGTGAGGTAAGCCATTTTCCTTCCCAGGTGAATCTCGTGTGGCTTATTGTGAATCCTTTACAAATATACCAATACATAGTTCCTCAAGCATGCAGGTTGTAAAGGACGAAGTGATTTAGTTTTATCACCTCTTCACATATAAATGAGTTAGTCAAGCATAACTTTGGGTGAGTCCCTCAGGCATGCTTGGAGAGAGTTTCTCAAGTACGACATAGGGTTAGTCCCATAGGCATGGCCTGGGACGAGTCCCTCAGGTATGGCATGGGGGTAAACCTCCTGGTGTCAATGAGGTGAATCCTCAAACATTAGTTGAGGTAAATCCCAAAACATCAATTTGAGGTGAATGCATACACAACATTAAATGTGATCAATGATTATTTAGTCTTGGGAATTCAAATTGCCCTTAGTCCTCACATGTGTCAGAAATTTGAGGAATCTTTTGCCACTGTTGGAGAACCTAGTGAGAGGTCCTTAATTACCCTTACGACTAGCCTTCAAATCCCTATAAAAGGGATTCAACATTAACTATTTTATCTTTTCACATATCTTCATCTTTAAAGCTTCCAACAAACCCCCTTATAGTAGGTCAAGAGCACACTAAATTTTGAGTTTGCTCAAGCTCAAGATCTCAATCCCCATTTTTCGATACAGGTCTATTACATTTTCTTCCCTTTCCCTCTGTATGTCGATACTTATAGATTTAGATGAGAATGAAAACCTAGTAGGGACTTTGACTCACGATGAATGCATAAAAATATGGAATCATTGCTATAGAAATTCCAAACATACTGATGGGATGCTTGATTACAAATTAGTGAAACTAGTCATGTTCGCTAGGTGTGAGAGTTTCATTAGTGACGACACTAGTGGTAGAGATAATGATTACTTTCTCCCTTTTATTCTATTTGGAAACAAGAAGTTAATGTCAACAACTGATCCTGAATACAAGCTTGTCGAGGATTTCAAGACCTATTATACTCGTGAGAAGAGGATAGCCTCATTTCAAAGTTATGTCAAGCTCTCATGTTTTGGTGATAAGAACAAAGTTATTTTAGAGGTGTGCTGTAAGGTATAGAGATTTAATATGGTAGTCTTAAATGACCTGCACAACCCCTGTTTCTTCATGCACCTCCCTATTATTTATGATTTAGGGGTTTTAACTCCATTCGCCCCATTTGAAGCAGAGGTTCTAGCGGTGTCCAACATTGCCCCTCCCAGATTTCTCCCAACTGCTTGATTAGGCATTTGAAATCATGTGTCAGCAACTAGAAGTCTTCCCTAACATAGGGATGTTTTCTCATGTGTGGGGATAAAGGTGGGTGTATTACCTTGAGTGCCTTGCCTAGAAGATCATTGTTAAAACCTCCATTATAATCATTATAAAAATTGGAAAGACATGTTTGTGAGAGTTAAGGGCCGAGATGGCACCTATATGGTCACAACCAAGATAGATGAAACTCATAGCTTCCCTTTAACATGAACATATAATTCACTATGATCAACGATTCTAACTTTGACTACTTTGCGCTCGATGAAAGTGATGTGGTTCATCTTTTGGGGGCATACAAGTTCGTGAGCTATCGTACCTTGATTGAATTAGATCAAAGGAAGGACATCGATATAGGAAAATATTTGATTAAGTCTCAAGAACATAGTGATCCCTATTTTAGGATTATTAATTATCCAGGATACTTATGTTTTTCTCATATGTTTTTGAAGAGAAAATGTCCTCTATCTCTCTAGCTAAAAGCAAAAAGCGCATGGCCAAAAATAAGGAAAATTGTCATAAACAAGGGACTAATAATCCAAAGAGTCCCCTAGACAGTTTAATTACTAAGGGGAACAAGGGCACACTGAGGGTGACACCCCTAATGAGCCGCATACCACTAAAATAAAAAATAAAGGCATGTGTTCCTCCTCTCTCTCAAAGGAGAATGCAACCATGACCTTTGAAGAGGATAAGGTAGACAATTATTCTTTGCCAACTGGGAATGACCCGCCTCCTCAGTATTCCATGTGGGACGATCCCACATTTGATGCCATAAAATTTATCGGGCTATTATAAGACCATTTTTAACAAGGCGCCTCATAAGCTGTCTAACTTGAAGAAGAATCATGTGTTGAGGGTCTTGATAATGGAGTAGGTTCAAAGAGATAAAACAACTAAATTGTGAATGAGATAAAGTCTAAGCTCTCTACTTCCCAAGGAAATATCGCCAAAGTTAAGGAGATAATGAATAACTTGGTCAGGGAGAAGAAGGATCTGAAAAACCAAACTTGAAGCAGTGTCGTCAAAGGCTTAGGATCTCAAAGTCTCAGAGAAGAGCCTGAAGGAGTCCTCAGAGGATGCAATTTTCTATAAAAAGAAACTGGAGGAAGAGTTGTCCACACTTAAGGATAAATTAATTTACACTTCCTATTTTTATTTTGAGATGGTGGAGGAGTAAGTAGCCTTCCTCTACCCAGAGTTAGAACTGAGTCAAATGGATATCTTCAAAGTGGTTTGTGACAACCAGTTGTTGGAAGAAGAAGAGGTTCCACCTCTTGAGAAGCCCGAGGAGTCTATTGATGAGGGATCCCAAATTGAGCATGAAGGTGACAAGACAATATCATAGGAAACTCCAAGGAGGATGTTGTTTGCCAAGAGATTACCTCAGAAGAAAGGAGACCCTAGGAGGATCGTTGTTAAACATATGGTTTTGTCATATTTACTCTTTGCAGCCTTTTGTAACTTTGAGCTTGGGGATTTTTGTGTAATGACTCTACCCTTAGAATTTTTTGTGTAATTATTAATGGCGCCCTTAAGGGATTTATGTACCTTTTTCCCCTAGGGGATTGATCAATGAATTGGTCGTCTCATATTCCTTTCCCTTATTTTTTTCTTATGCAAATAGTTTTTTATAATGTTTTAAGTAAGGTTCTCTCTATTGTATGACTTAATAAGGAGGCAAAGATCCCTCCATGAGGATCTAGTGTAAGTAATTTCCATATGGGTGACTGTTAGCTCCTGAATTCGACACCTACACATGTTAGTCATACTGGCCAAGAATAGGTTGAATAAATCTAAAGTTAAAGACGCTTCAATAGAAGAGTTTGTGATGTTAGTTGTGTCGAAGCTATGCTAAGAAGAGAAGAAATACTTAGATAAATTTTTTAAGTTAAAAGGAGTGTTCAACCAAGAAGCCTTTGCCCTTCGACCAGGAAACTTCGTATCAACAACAAGTGATTTTGAATCTGAAGAAAGGAGGGAAAAGTAGTTCACCTGGAAGTTGAAGAAAGCAACGTGGCATAAGGACAAAAGTTGAAGTGCACGCAAAGGAAACTTGTCCTCATCTTAGAGCGAGGCAACTCCTCGACGGTTACCTAGTTCTAGTATAAATATAGGGATTCTATGTAGATTTCCGTGTGTTCAACTAATTGTACAAGTCACTCAATATTATTCGAGTACCCGCTGCGTGAGAAAGAATACTGAGAATGTACGTTTGAAACACCATATTTTATAATCAAAGTCTTTTAAATTCCTTTTTTACATTCCTTGCCATTCTTGCTTACAGCCTTTTATCTTACTTGCAAAGTTTATTTTCCCTTGCATTTTCCTTGCACTTTTTACCAGATTTCTACACTTAAACTTATCTCAAACCTCTACCTTCCTCAGTCAAATGTGTTCTTTATTAAAATTAGCATTTTTATCAAAACAACACAAATATTTAGCATATGTCCTAGGATCAAACTGATCGATCCTACAAGTAACCAAAAATGACCCTTTTTGGAAGATCAGTAATTGTTTACCAATTTTCACAGTAAACAAATTGGCACACCTGGTGGGATCTTGCTAATTTTTGTTTGCTTGTTTATATTAACATAAATGCTTTACATAATTTATTTTCTTTTACAAAGTATTATATGTTATTAAGAAGTGGTAAATTAACCACCAACGAGTGTACAACTAGGACAAGAAATAGTGAAATGGCTAATCAGCCAAATAATGGAGAAATACCTCCATCAATTACTGCAGAAACAGCGGTTATACCAACCGTTAGTGAAACTATCTCCTCATCCGTTGGTTCGGCACCAACGTT